AAAAAAAAAAAAGAAAATGTATAGTCCAGCCTGGCAAAGAGACTCTGTTTTCTCAAACAATCAAACAAACAAAACTATAAGCATTTAAGTCGAACATGGAATGGGTACTCATATAACAAAAAAGCCTGTGAATAGTTTCTTGCTCTAGAAAAAGGGCTTTTGTTTTAGACAGGGTCTCATTACATAGCTCTGGCTATCCTGGAACTTACTTTGTAGACCAGGCTGGCCTGTAACTCACAGAGATCCACCTGCCTTTGTCTCCCAAGTGCTGGGATTAAAGGTGTGTACCACTATGCCTGGTCAGGGTTTCTGAACTCTAGTAATATAAATGTTACAATTTATGATGGAATTATAATCAAAATAATCTCTTTTGAGTTAAAAAATCCTTAAGTGTAATACATGTTTAATTCACCTAATCTATCAAACATCATAGTTTTGTAGTGCATTTTAAAGTATTAGATGTTTACCAGTTTTCACCTGCTAAGAATTTTGATTCATTCTGGATGCATAGAAATCTTATATTAGGGGCTGGAGAGATGGCTCAGCGGTTAAGAGCATTGCCTGCTCTTCCAAAGGTCCTGAGTTCAATTCCCGGCAACCACATGGTGGCTCACAACCATCTGTAATGAGGTCTGGTGCCCTCTTCTGGCCTGCAGGCATACACACAAACAGACTATTGTATACATAATAAATAAATATAAAAAAAATCTTATATTAGCATATTCCAGCCCTAGGTGGGGAAATCAGAATCATACAACAGAGGGAAGCAGTACATGAAATTAGTAAAGTAGGACACTGAAAAGTCTTTCTCTGTATTTAGACAGTCTCACTGGATAGCTCTGGCAAGCCTCATACTCACTATATAGACCAGGCTGCTTCTGCCTCTCAAGTGGTGGGATCCATTACCTTTAGAATTGTCTTTAATAAGTTATAACATACTATATCTTTATATTCAATAAATATCTGCCCAAGCCAATCTGAACAAAATACAGCTATGACTCTAGTTTACTCTTCAGAATTTCATCTTCTTCAAAATTTAATTCAGATTCCTTGGGGCATGGAGTTGAGATAAATTCTCCCTATACAGTCCTGGCACTAAGTGTGCAGATCAGGCTAGCCTCAATGTTGCAGTGAACCTCTTCTGCTTCTTTAACAATGGGACTGGATTGCTAGGATCAAAGGCCTGGCTTAATTAATATATTCTTTCATTTCATTTATTTGTTTATTTGTCTGTTTTTAGAGACAAGGTTTCTCTGTGTAAACCTGTCTGTCCTAGAATTCACTCTGTAGACCAGGATGGCCTCAAACTCAGAGATCTGCCTGCTTTTGCTTCCCAAGTGCTAGGATTAAAGGCAGACACCACACTTACTTAATTCGGGTATTTTTTAAAATATAAAACGAAGGCCGCAGAGATGACTAGCCTGTTGTTCTTGCAGAGGACCAAAGTTTGATTCCCAGAACCCACGTGGTAGCTCACAACCATCCTTAACTCCAGTTCCGGGATCCAATACCTTTTGGCCTCTGTGGGCATCACCAAAACACCCATACACATAAAATAAATAATCTAAAAAAAATGTAAATAAAAACTGAGAGTAACTCTGGACTGTATCCACAAAGGAATTCTCTAAGGAAGAGAAAGACTACCAAGAGTTTTTAAAATAGGCTTGATTTGGACAAAGTTAATAAACCTAACAAAAATTAGAATTTAGAACAAATGAGATAATGCAACAAATAAAGGCCCTTGCTGCTCAACCTGACTGCTGCAGTCCAAAAACCATGAGCTCCCTATGGCCTGCATGTATACACACACACCAATAATAATAATAATAGTAATAATAATAATTGTATTAATTTGATGGAGCAGTGGTGATGCATACCTTTAATCCCAGCACTTGGGCAACAGAATCAGGAGGATTCCTGTGAGTTCAAGGCCAGCCTGTTCTACAAAGAGTTCCAGAACAGCCAGAAGTTAGAGAAATCTTGTCTCGAAAAACAAAACAAACAAGTACTTATGCTCTCTTAAAAGGACCAGGGCTCAATTCACAGGACCCATGATAAGGTGGCTCACAACTATCTATAACTCCAGCTACTGGGAATTCAACAGGCATGCATGTAGTGTACACACATGCATGCAGGCAAGATACACATAATTAAATCTAAAAAAGCTTAAAAATATATAAACACTATAAGCAGAACTGCTTTACTCATAGGTGAATTCACTATAATTTATACAATTTCTCCAAAGCTAAGAATGGCATAATTCTTCCTAATAAAATCTCTATTATTAGTCCTAACAGAGCAGCCAATATATAGAAACTATAAATATATTATTTATACTTCTGGGAAAGATTTATTAAAAAGTCAAGTATGAGTCAGGCAATGGGGGTGAACACCTTTAATCCCAGCACTCGGGAGGCAGAGGCAGGGGTATCTCTGTGAGTTTGAGGCCAGCCTGGTCTACAAGAGAGGGAGTTCCAGGACAGGCTCCAAAGCTACAGAGAAACCCTGTCTCGAAAAAAAAAAAAAAATTACTTGCTGTTCTTACAGAAGACCCCAGTTCAGTTCTAAGTACCCACGCTCACAATGTTCTTTAACTCCAATTCTATGGACTCCAATGCCCTCCCCTGACCTCCATGGGCAGCAGGTACATACATTGTGCACATACACATATACAGGGAAAATATTCCCATACATTAAACTAAAAATATGCTTTTCTGCTTTCATGTGCTTTCCAGATCAAAAATTTTAGCTCTCTCTCTCTCTCTCTCTCTGGTTTTTCGAGACAGGGTTTCTCTGTGTAACAGTTCTAGCTGTCCTGGAATTAGCTCTTGCCTCGAACTCACAGACATCTGCCTGCCTCGCCTGTGCTACCCGAGTGCTGGGATTAAAGGTGTGCACCACCACCGCCCGGCTATGGCTATTATTTTCTAGCCCCAAAAACAATTACTTACATCAGGTCCCGGTGGCACAAGTTCGTAATCCCAGCTAGTGGGGCATTTGAGGCCAGCCTAAGTAACTTATAAGTAACCTAAGCCTAAATAGTTATGTCAATAAATCACGGTAGCCTTATCTTTTCTCAACGTGCGCGTAGTCTCACAGTTCCAGGGGCCGTTTTGAAAAAAAAAAAAAAAAAAAAAAAAAAGATTATTAAAACAGGCGGGTGTGGTGGCCCACGCCTTTAATCCCAGCACTCAGAAGGGAGAGGCCGGTGGACCTGAGTTCAAGGCTAGACAGAGTGAGTTCCAGGAGTTCCAGACAGCCAAGGCTGTTACACAGAGAAACCGTGTCTCAGAAAAACCACACACAAAACAGGCTCTGACATCACCGTAATTGGTAAATCAGGGCTGTAATCTCAACACTTAATAGGCTGAGGCGGGAAGATTGCCATACTCAAATCAAGGGGTGAAAACATGCCCAAAGCGGTATAAATGCTTCCTAATTAAATCTCTTATGATGTGTGCCCATCTTGCCCCTTGCCCCAAGAAAAAGTATCTGTCAGTCTTTAAGGCTCTAAAAAAAGTGCCTCCAAACGCCTGCTCACAATTACTGCTAACTGCGTTTTTTTTTTTTAATGTTGCAGTTGCAGAATCAGAGAAATGCGGGCAGGGGAACCAGAGATTCCCAAACCCACTGGCCCAATCCGAGCGGGCTCGCTGAAGACAGCAGCCCAGGGTCTAGGCGAGCCCCCGAGGGCAGAGAGGAGGGGTCTGAGCCTCGGGCCGGCCCGCCCCCCTTCCCTAGGGGCCCGAGGAGGCGGGCCCAGGGAGGCCGCGCCCCAGCCTCCGCGGCTGGCCCTGCCCCGGGGGAAGCCCCCCGAAGCCCCACCCCGGGCGAGGGTCCGCCCCCCGCCTGCCGGGCCTCCTTCCTGTGGGGAAGTGCGGCTGCTTTGGCGTCCCCCGCCCGTTCGTGCGGCTCGCTTCCGCTGCCGCGGCTCAGCCGAACGCCCGCCGGCGGGCCGGCCAAGGGCCAGGCGCCCGAGCCCCGAGGCTCGCGACGGGCGCACGCAGGCCTCGTGGGCGGGCCGTGGCCCGCGAGCCCGTCGCCCCGTCGCCCCGCCACCCGGGCCGGTGCTCACCTCGCCACCAGTACGTCTTCGACAGGTCGTGCCAGGTCTGATGCCGGGTGTGGTGAGTGCCCCCGGGGCCCAGGTGGGCCGCCTCTATGAGGCCCTGGCGCCGCTCCGGCTGCAGCACGACCTCCAGCTCCGCAAAGGTCTTGCGGTGCCGCTGCCGCCGCTGGTAGTATAGGGTCCCGCCGCGCACCACGTAGCAGGCGGCGGCTTTGCGGATTTTCCGCTTGACATTGCCCTCGGTGCCCGGCGCGTACGGCTCCCGTTCGTTCGTCAGATAGCGCAGGATGGCCCGATAGCTTTCCTCGCTTGACATCGCCGATGGCAGCGCCCTGTGGGCGCCTGTCAGCGACCGGGAAAGGCAGACAGCGCTCCGGCTCCGTCCAGATGCAACGGCAGTGGCGACAGCGCAAGGAGCAACGCCCACGCCTGTGGTGGGCGCTCCCCGAGGGCGCCCGCGGCTCCAAGGGAGAACCGACGACTCGGCGGTAACCAGGGGGAACTGCACTTCTGCAGCGCGCGGGATCCGCTGGCCACTGACAAAATGGCTGCTGCACCACCGGAAGTGACGCGCGCGGGGCGTGGCCTGGGGCCCGATTGGATCGCTCTCGGTTTCTGGCTCTGAGGGAGCCGGTGGAGTGACGTCAATACTGCGGGAGGACATTTTGGAAGAGGGTACGCTCCTTCTGACAGATGCGAGGGTCTTCGGCAGACATCTTAAGTCCTGGCAGGGTTTTTTTTTTTCCCCTTTTCCCACGCTCTCTAAAAACCACGTGTTTGAGCTGTTCGGTGTTTGTTGCCCTAACAGAGACCGTCCCCCACCCACAGAGGAAAGGAGACCGTTTTCCTGTCTACTTTGACACTCGATATACCGGATTCCGCCAATTTTGAAATTAGATATCGCTTGCCACTGTCTGGATTCTGGGCAAAAATAGTAGCAGTATTATCAAGCATCAGGTGTCTCAATGTTATGAATTATCCTCCTAGAACTACCTCCAAACTATCTCCAAGGAATAAGATTTTTCTAGAATCCTCATCATGGTGACGACTGTGCAGGCCCAGATTATTTAGATGGCTCTGCGGTTAAGAGCACTCGCAGTTCATGCTGTAACTGAAGTCCCAGAGGATCTGACACCTTCACACTGTGCACATACAATTAAATAAACTAAAGTTAACACGGACAGGCAATTTGGATTACCTAAATTCCTTGTCGCAGTATGCTGTTCTCTTGGAGTGCTGGGACACTTCCCTAAACTAAGTTCCAGGCTTCCCCAACCCATGGGCTTTGGCTGAAAATACCATTAATTTTTTTCGAACTGAAGCATAGAAATCTTGGAGGGTTTTAGGCTCCTGTCGGTGAGGAGCAAGCACATGGCTGTGCCCTCAGAGGAAGGGATTAGTGTTTCTCCTACCATAATAGAAATGATAAGCATCCTTCCCTAGCCCATAAGGGTTATGCAGATATCCAAACCCATGTAAGGATTTTGATCTGTACTGGATGTGACCTCATGATTCTAATACTACCTTAAAAATATTAGCAAGACTTAATAAAACCTTGAGAATACAGGGAAAATGAGGTAGTAAGTCCAACTAAGAACCCAATTAATTTACTTTTTGAAGTCATTAGTAAATATCTGGAGGTAATAGGATGTTATTAGTACTTTTTTTGGTGATCCAGTTTTCTTCTAAGTCAGGCTTTATTTAACCTTGTGCTTATTTCTTGTGCCCTAAGTCAACTGTCTTCAGAGATGGTCCTGTTCAGTTATGTCCTTGCAAGAATCTGCATTCCAAGCTGGGCAGTGGTGGCACACGCCTTTAATCCCAGCACTCGGGAGGCAGAGGCAGGCGGATCTCTGTGAGTTCGAGACCAGCCTGGTCTACAAGAGCTAGTTCCAGGGGCTGGAGAGATGGCTCAGTGGTTAAGAGCATTGCCTGCTCTTCCAAAGGTCCTGAGTTCAATTCCCGGCAACCACATGGTGGCTCACAACCATCTGTAATGAGGTCTGGTGCCCTCTTCTGGCCTGCAGACATATACACAGACAGAATATTGTATGCATAATATTTAAAAAAAAAAAAAAAAAAGAGCTAGTTCCAGTACAGGCTCCAAAACCATAGAGAAACCCTGTCTCGAAAAACCAAAAAAAAAGAATGTGCATTCCACATAATACATTTTTACACCAATTAATGGATTTTTAGGGGAAAGCTTTTTTTTTTTTTTTTTGAGACAGGGTTTCTTTGTGGTTTTGGAGCCTATCCTGGAACTAGCTCTTCTAGATCAGCCTGGCCTCGAACTCAGAGATCCGCCTGCCTCTGCCTCCCGAGTGCTGAGATTAAAGGCGTGTGCCACTACCGCCCGGTCGTTATACTAGGCTGGTCCCCAACCGTTAACAATCCTACCTCAGACTCTTGAATGCTGAAATTAAAGACTGCATCTGCTTCGCTTTTGTACACACCTACGTTAGCAGGCTGACAAATTTGGGAGCTGAAGCCGGGCGGTGGTGGCGCACGCCTTTAATCCCAGCACTTGGGAGGCAGAGGCAGGTAGATCACTGTGAGTTCGAGACCAGCCTGGTCTACAAGAGCTAGTTCCAGGACAGGCTCCAAAACCGTAGAGAAACCCTGTCTCGAAAAACCAAACAAAAAAAATAAATAAAAATTGGGGGGCTGAGTTGACAGGGTCTCAAGTACTCAGGCTTGACTCATTCACGGCCTAGCCAAGGTGACCTTGAACTTCTGAGAAAATTTAAAACTTGATACAGCTTTATTACTTTTAGTTCAAGAAACATGTACAGTGTTCCATACTTAAGCAATACTGAGCTGGGTGCTGATGGCACAGGCCTTCAATGCTAACACTTAGGAGGCAGAGGTAGGCGTGTCTACACAGTTGAGGCCAGTCCAGAGTTGCCAGAATACAAAGAAAAAAAGTTTCAAAAACCAAAAATCCAAAAGCTAAACATGGCATCGAACTGTAATTCAGATACTCCAGTAAGAAAATTACTGAGCTGGAGGCCAGAGTAGGCAGTATGACTCTTAACCGTTCTCAAAAGAACACAGGTGGGTGTGGTGGCACCTGACTAAATCCTAACACCCAGGAGGTAGTAGTAGGTGAACTGGGAACCGAGGACGGCCAGAGCCAGACATCTCAACAGCTGGATGTATTGGTGCACTGCTATATATAACCCCAACAGTAAGACATTCTGGACCTTCCAGCAGTAGTTTTCACTGCTCATCATAGGAACAGATTAATCTTAAACTCCTTAGAGCCAAGAACAAACACTTGTCAATTGAAAGCAAACCCAATATAATTCTTTGGCTAACAAAGGTAGTGAATTTAACCAATCTAGATTAACAAAATACTGCCAACAACTGAAAGCTCTGTAATGTAATATGCCTGTAATATGTAAAGTAATATGCCTTTTAATGCTTCCCCATATGCAATTGACTGGATTTGATCTCTAGGACTGCAAGGAAACCCTATATTCAGGAGGGATAGTGAGTTAGGAAGTTTCATGGATCCAGGATGGTGGTGCATGCCTTTAATCCTAGGAATTGGGAGGCAAAGGCAGGTGGATCTTTTGAGTTAGAGGTCAGCCTGTCTACAAGCCGGTTCCAGGACAGAGAAACCCTGTCTCCAAATAACAAGACAAAATACGCAAAGTAAGAGGTTTCATGTCTCCCACATGCTGGGATCATAGCTGTGCTCTAGACACAGCTCACACCCATATCATTTTTTTGCCATCTCTTCAACTAATATTTTATTAGGCATTATTGCTGAGATAAAAATATTTTTAAAGTTTTCCAGACGTCTCATTATGTAGTTCTGGCTGTCACGGAACTCAGAGATCCACTTGTCCCTGCCTCCTGAGTTTAAAAGTGCAACAGAGAGCATGGCCAGGAGATTGAACGTTAGGAACTCAGGCAGCCTAAACGTACAGTCTGTGGCTAAGCCACCCTCCCCCCATACAACATGTTTTATGAAAGGGAAAAGAAAATCCAACACCACCTAGAGTTTGAAATGGACTTTATTCAGAACTCTGATCTACCAAGTTAGCGTTTTCCACCAACTCGGGGAGCAGAGACCTTCACAGGCTTCACAATCTTTTGTTTAGGTGCTGCTTTTGTGGGGGCCTGTAAAAAGACAACAGGGCATTATTCCATGGAATCTTGTCACTTTGTCCTCATGGTTGAGATTCTTTACATACCCTCACTGTCTTAGTAATTTAACTGCATCATTACCAACTTCACAGTAACCCATAAAGTTCCTTTCCCCCCATGTAATAATATTACAGGTTGGGCAGTAAGATGATACAATGTAGTATGGGGCCCTGAATTGTAACAAAGTTTGGGTTGGGTTATTTTTGAAGGATCTTCAGGCTGGCTTTGAACTGTTCCTTCCTCCACTCTTCACAAGTGCTGGGGCTTGAGTCTCATACTACTCACTACAGTCATTTAAGTATGATGCATTTAATTTCTCTCGGGTGGGACACAGTACAGCACACGTAGAGCTCACAGACGTGTGGGAAATTAGCTCTTACTCCCATAGGGTCCTACTTTACCCACTGAGCCATCTTGGTGACCCAGAATGATCATTTTTTAAGCATTTTTATTACGCTTGAGGGCTCAGGGTCTTGCATGACACGTGTGCAAGTCAGTACAACTCAGTGTTGGTTCTTTCCTTTCACCTTGTGTACCCAGGGCTAAATTAGGGTTGGCAGCAAGTGCGTTTACTGGCAGAGCCATCTTGCCCACTCAAGAATAAAAAAAAAAACTTTTTAACTTAATGGCTTTACATTTTTTTAACCACTAGAAAAAGCTGGGTAAACTCATTGTACTGTTGTACAGTTATTCAAAGTGTAAAATTAGTTCAAAACACAAAAGTCAAGAGGGTACAAGGGACCATACCCATAATCCACCTAGGCGGCAGGACTATCCATCCTTAAGGCCAGCCTCAGTTATATAGCAACACATCTCAAAAAACAAACCCACCAAAAACCAAACAGAAATCATCTTATTTTCCCCTTTTTAAGGCACCTAAAATTAAGACTCACTAGAAACCTGAGATATAACCACTGACTTGGAAATTAGCTACAACCATTTCCAATAGAAACTTGCACCTGTCATTTACTAACCCTTGTATTAAAGATGAAGTTTCCTATTGTAAGAAACCCAAGAGCCCAGTTACCTTGGCAGCAGCCATAGCGGTCTTCTTGGATGCCTGCTTAGCCTTTTTTGCTTCCTTGGCAGCCCTGTAGTGAGTGTCATAAGCAACATTAAGCCAAAGACTTTACTCTTTAAGAACACAACTTAAAGCTCCTGGTAAGGAGCTAGAGTTTTGGACAAGTAGACTCATTATCATATATTCCTTCTCCATTATTTATGAATGAAACCCATTATCCAGATCCAGCTCAATTGTACAACCTTTGAGGCCAAGACAGGAAGATCTTAAACCCAAGGCTAGTGGGGCTTCACTAGCCAGCTTGGCAAAGAGCCCAACAAAAAGCAGATCCCAACAGTTGTCAATAAATTCCATTACCCAAGTCTGCTTAATATAAGAAATTGTGCGTACTGAGGTTTAACAAATCATAGAGTATAGGCCTGCACTATGCTTCTGAAACTGACAGTCCCATGAAACTAAGTTCCCACAGTAGAAAAACCATCTGGTCACCCAATAGCTACAGTGTCAGAGTGGAACATTCCTCACCTGATGGCCTGCTCTCGCTGGGCTTTCCTAACTTCTGGTTTCTGATTCCTCTTGGCCATTATATCAGCAAGGGATGCACCAGTGATGGCCCGCTGGAATTTGACTGCGCGGCGGGTTCTTTTCTTTTGAATTTCTTCCTACAAAGCAAAGACTGGTTGATGAACCTTATTCAATAACTTTTGGAAAGAACTTTTCTTTCTATGTGTGTGTATTATATATGTGTTTAAGACAGATTGCTGTGTAGTCCTGCTATATCCTGGTGCTATGATTAGGTATGTAGCACTATGCCTTGCCTGTTGGTCCAAGAGCTCTTAAATTTTATACTCAAATTAATTCATGCCAATTACACGAAATAAACATTGCTTTCCAGGTTATAAATTGTTTTAATCTTGTATCACAAATCACATTCTCTTTTACTACTGAAAAAGGACAAAAAAAAAATCATTCAATTTTCAGGAAGAATGGTTCTCTTCAGGAGTCAGATGGCACTTTTAAAATGATTGTAGGGGCTAGAGAGGTGGCTCATCAAGTAAGAACACTGGTTGCTCTGGCAGCAGACCCAGGTTCAGTTTCCAGCACTATATGGTGGCTCACAACCACCTCTAATTCCAGTGCCAGGGCCCTGACATTACTTCTTGACTTCTGCACACACATGGTGCATGTACACACATGCAAACAAACATTCACATATATAAAAATAAAAGTCTATAAAGGCTATTATAAAAATGATTTTAAAGCCAGGCAGTGCTAGCGCACGCCTTTAATCCCAGCACTTTGGTGGCAGAGGCAGGCAGATCTCTGTGAGTTCGAGGCCAGCCTGGTCTAGAAGAGCTAGTTCCAGGACAGGCTCCAAAACCACAGAAAAACCCTGTCTCAAAAAACCAAAAATAAAGTAATTTTAACAAGACTGTTTACAGGCTTAAGAAGTCAAGTCTACCTATAAAAAGGACTTAGGAAGTGAATACTAAAAAAACCACCAAGCTTTAGTTATCCAGGACCCCAACGTCTGTTGTAGATTCTAAACTAGAAATCTGTATCATATATCATAGATATTATGAAAAAAAAAAAGTTCTCATTGTGTAGCCCAGCAGTGGTGGCACAGGCTTTTAATCTCTCGAGTTTGAGGCCAGCCTGGACTATAGTGAGTTCCAGGACAGCCAGAGCTTCACGGGGAAACCCTGTCTTGAAAAACCAAAAAAATAAAAATTTTTTTTCAAAGATTTAATCTTTAGTAAGAAAAGTCAAAATTTGTTTCATTTCTTATCCAAAATCCTTAAAACAATTCTCCATTCCATTACCCTTTCCTTACATTTCATTCTTT